GCAGCAAAAACAAAAAACAAAAAAAAAAAAACACAAGAAAAAAAAGCCACCAAAACAACAACAACAAAAAACTAGATTGGATACTGTAGTCTATAATATCAGAAAGGGGAGAGGAGGGAGAAAAGAGAGGAAAAAAAAATCTGTAGCCTAATATGAGCATGACTTTATTGTCCTCTCTTCAGCTTCTTGCCTTCAAGGTCCTCTGTTAAATTTCAAGATGCCACTACAGCCTCGGAAACTCTGTACAGGGTCACTATGAGTTGGAACTGACTCCACGGCACACAGCCACCACCACCACTGTTGGTTGTTATGCTGTACCTCAGGATTTAATTTAATTTTCAGCCTGTTCTGTTTTTAAAGTTTCTTTCCCTCTCCACACCCCTTCTTCTGGCCTTTTCCCTATTAAAAGACAGTTCAGGGCCATTTCTTGGGCTGAGAGTATCTGTGTACATGCGTAGCAGAAAAAGCCACCAGTGGTGGGGTTGGGGGACATCCACTCACTCAGGCACCCCCTCTAGTCACCAAAATGGAGGTGCACAAACAGTGGATTGCTAATGAACAGATACCAAAAAAAGAAAAAAGAAAATCAGAACAAAGCAAAACCGACAAAGTGTATTGTCTACCTTTGCTCTGAGATTCCTGTGGTGTTATTCTATGGTGGGTCTGTTCCTCTGCTTGGTCTTGCCGTTTGGTCTCACCCAAGTTGTCGGCTCCGAGCAGCCAAGCCCAGCAGACTCAAAAGCAGGCAATTTCTTACTTCTGCTATAAGCTTCACTAGCTATAAGCCTTTAAACTTTTAAAATATTCCTCCTATGTGGTTCAGAGTTTGGGAGCTCTGCCCTAAAACTGCTTTGCCTGGTATTCTGTGGTATTGCTGAAGGCGAACTTCACTGCATCTCTACCCTATTCGCCATGAAGCCCCACCTCTCTTTAGCAGTTTTTAAGGTCTCTCCTGACTTCAATAATTGAATTTTTTTAAAAATGTTTTATTGTGAACTATGTGATAGTTTACATGGGAGAACATTAATTTTACATTCATCCTATCATATATCGTTTCATTATCTTGGTTACAATCCCTCCATGCATCATCAACCAACCAAAGGGTATACCCTGCAAGCCTACCCCTGGGTCGTCTGCACACAGACCCTATCTCTCTTTGGGTCTAAAGTCCCCAGCTGCTCCATCTCTCCACATCATCATCTCTGCCTCCATCTCAGGCATCACTGCTTCTCTGGGTAGGGTCCCGCTC